GCGGGACTTGATCCCAGGATCCTGGGATCATGACCTGAGCCAAAGGCAGACGCTTAACAACTGAGCCACCCAGGCGCCCCTGGTATTTGTCTTTCTCTGACAAATCTTGCCATGTTTGTGCAAATGGGAAGGTTTCATTCTTTTTTATGACTGAGAAATATTCCATTGTATGTATATATACCACATCTTCTTTATCTTTTCATCAGTGAATGAACACTTGGATTGCTTCCATAATTTGGCTACTGTAAATAATGCTGTAATAAACATAGGGGTGTATATATCTTTTTGAATGAATATTTTTGGATTCTTACTACTGGTAAATACCCAGTAGTAGAATTACTGGACCATATGGTAATTCCATTTTTAATTCTTGGATGAATCTTCATACTGTTTTCCACAGTGGCTGCACCAGCTTGCATTCCCACCAACAGTATGTGAAGCTTCCTTTTTCTCCACATCCTTGCCAACACCTGTTGTTTCTTGTATTTTTGAATTTAGTCATTCTGACACGTGTGATGTGACATCTCATTGTGGTTTTGATTTGCATTTTCCTGATGATTAGTGATGTTGAGCATCTTTTCATGTGTCTGTTGGCCATGTGTATGTCTTCTTTGAGGAAATGTCTATTCATGTCCTCTGCCCCCTTTTTAGTGGATTATTTATTTTTTTTGTTGAGTTGTGTAAGTTTTTTGCATATTTTGGATACTAACCCCTTATCAGATATGTCTTCTCCCATTCATTAGGTTGTTTTTTCTTTTGTTGATTTTTTCCTTAGCTGTACAGAAACTTTTCATTTTGATGTAGTCCCAATAGTTTAATTTTGCTTTTTTATATTTATTTTTTATTTAAATTCAATTAGCCAAGGTATAGTACATCATTAGTTTTTGATATAATGTTCAGTGATTCATTTGTTTCCCTTGCCTCAGGAGACATATCTAGAAAAATGTTGCTATGGCTGATGTCAGAGAAATTACTACCTGTGCTTTCCTCTAGGATTTTTATGGTTTCAGGTGTCAACTTCCCTTTCTTTTAAATATTTGTTTGTGGTATTTCTACTGAGTTTATGTTTATCTTATTTTTAAAATGTTTTCTTTTTTTAAAAAGATTTTATTTATTTATTTGAGAGAGAGAGTGAGAGAGAGAGTGTGCACAAGAGGGGATAGGGTCAGAGGGAGAAGCAGACTCCCCACTGAGCAGGGAGCCTAATGTGGGACTTGATCCTGGGACTCCAGGATCATGACCTGAGCCAAAGGCAGTTGCTTAACAAACTGAGCTACCTAGGTGCTCCTATGTTTTTCTTATTAATTCACATGAGTTTTTTAGATAATTTTAACCCACAGTACCCTAGAGTGAACAAATATGTACATTGAAAATATTGTGAAAAAATGAGAAAAAAATAGTTACAAATATGTAAAAAGAAGTAACAGATTTGTCTGCATTGACGAGAGACAAATTGTCACACAGAATAAATTAGAATCTACTTATAAATATACACAATGAAGATTAAGCTTCAGGAAACAGTGACTCTTAGAAGAAAAACTTTTGAGAGTTCCCCATTTTACAACAACTCAGCTATATTTTCAGATGTATTATTTATATCAGTATATACAATCTATATTTTCACAGCTAAAATTGGTATCAGACTTACTGATGTCATTCAATGGATAGAGATCCCTTCATTAATACCTAAGAAAAGAAGACTGAAATTCACTTAGAGGAGGATAGTGTGTCTATATTTGCAAAGCATCTGAAATGGAGATGAACAGACCCAGATGTACATGATGTACACTTGGTCTCCTAGGGTCAAGAAAGCACCGTCCTGAATTCCACTGTTCTAGAGTCTTGGTCTTTAAGGATTTACACTGCCCTGGGATGTCTGTGACAAAAAAAAAATTGCTTAGTTAATGAGGAGCTTTGGAAATTGAACCTTTAGGGATACAGAGACTGCAATCTGCCTGTGACCACCTCATTCAACATGAAAAGTAGTAGCACACCTAAGCCTCCTCCCACAGTTGATCCCTCTTGCTCCGGAGCCTGGGTCTCACTCAATCCCTCTGTCCTTCCTGAGAACAGATCTTCCATAAGGTACATCAGAAATGTCAATCATCATTCCACTATGATGCCAAGCAGGTAAGCTAACACCCCTTACTCAGTGTTTGGAAATGGGGGCAAATGTCTTACTACAGGTTCATCTGGGGCAGCTGTGAAGAGAGTATATACACTGAATAATTGAAACCAATCACCCATGGTCCTCCCACCTGTCTTGTCTTCACATGTTTCCTTGTGCTTTTTGCTATCACTCCATTTACTAATATCTTTTCACTCACTTGTATGGCCAGGACCATTTCTTCCCGAGTAGAAATCTGCTTTTTAAAAAACATGACTGTTGGGGCACCTGGGGCCTGGGTGGCTCAGTCGGTTAAGCATCT